GCTCTCCCGTAGACCTCGCCATGTTTTCTTCTCATATCTCCTTTTCAGCCCATCTCCATCCCTCTACCACTTCCTGCTTTTTTAACAACTCGCCCTTCATCACCTCCGCCATGTTCATTGTAAGCAGGCGAGATAAGGCAGCTTTAACAAGTTAGTTTAATGTCCAACCTAAATAAGGAAAAGAAAGAAAATAGGTGAGATTATCGAGGATTATTCTTTATAACTCGTGAAGAACGCACCCGACATAAGTATCAAGTGATAAAACTCAACACATGGTTTAAGGATAATAAAAAAAATAACAATTTAAAATGCCTAATAAAATGAATTGTCGCTATATTTAATATCTCTAAACGCCGTAGGGTGCGTTGAAGCAAGAGAAGGAATAAATAAAAAAAAAACGAAAACCGAGAAAGTGCTGCCTTGGATAAACAAACAAGAAGAATTCCAAATTTAAAGAAATCTTTGCCCTCCATTAAGTTATTTGTTAATGTTTAGGTACAAACATCGAAAGGTATATACGTAATATGTGTAATATATGGTACTTACTACATTCTTCAGCAAAACAAAAAATATATACGCATATTTTTTTGTATTTACTCAACCCTCTACGAGGTCAGGATGCGACACAAGGTCGGTTTAATGTGGGGAGCCCGAGCGCGTACACCCGGGCTAGGAACCAAAATTGTCCAAGCCCCCGCAACCATCGGTTGCGCTACCCTCGTTGCGAGCACCGATCCTTCGCTGGTGCAATGAAGGGGCGCGGCCTCGGGCAGCTGTTCCCCAGGGCTGGGCACCTCTGAGTATAATTTTTCTAGGTTGCGACTCTGTCCTTTGACAGAGCCGCTCCTGAGCGCAGTCTTCCCCAAAGACAGAGATGATGAATAATGTGTTACAAACTACTCGAGAGAGTAATTTACACGCATATTAAAATAAAATAAATAACAAAAAATAAAGGAATAATTTTTAAAAAATCGTGTGAACTCAAATAATGAGAATGTTTGGAAAATTGCAGATGGGCTTGTTTCTCACAAGAAGTGATTTGAAAGCACAGCCATCAGAGATAACCGGAAGTGGTGATTCCTGTGCGGCTAAGCAAGCAGGAAAGAACCAATGAGATGAACACAGTTTAACTTGGAATTTCCATACTGTAATGAAAGCATCGATTCCGGATTTCACCTAAGAGGATATCTTGGAGAGAATTTTTAACAGGATGATTAAAAACTTCATTCCAATGGACGTCACGAAAGAAATCAGAGAACGAGTCCTAATCCGTTCTTTGACAACAAAAAGATATTCTGTTGGTAGGTTCTTGGCTGTGTGGGAGCGGAAAGTGTTTCTAAGAAGGCTGAACTCCATAGTAGGACGTGAGTCAGGGATAGAAGTAAAAACAGATATTAGAATAGATCGAGAAGCGTGTGCCTCTGGATTACTAGGGAAACGCGTAAGGAATCCATCATTTACGTGAGAGATTGAATCATTGAGAAGGATTTGAACGCCAACGAGCTCAGTTACTGAATCTATTTTCGGGGTGTCTGATGAAATTTGGCCCTCATTGCCTCATCTGTGGTTGCATCAGATTTTCATCACGCCCACACACTATTGTCTCGACTGTCGATTAGATGTCCTATAAGATGATTCCCATTGGAGTTTAGCGGACGAGCATGCAGATAACGACCAAGGGGATAATTGCGATTTAACGATATCTCCTTGCAGCAATGAAAGCATCGATGCCGGTTTTCGCGTTTGTGGAGACCTCAGTCGAGCCTTTTTAACAGGATGATTCCAATGAACGTCACGAAGGAAAACACGGAACGAACCCCAGTCCGCTCGTTGATAACAAAAAGATATTCTGTTGGTAGGGTGTTCTTGGCAGTTGGGGTGCGGAAACAGATATTTACAGACACTACTGTTTGATCAGAGTTGCTAAGCCGGGGTGGGAGAGAGATGCGTAGTACAACATGAATCAGGGATAGTGACAAAAAAAAAAAAAAAAAAAACTAGAAGAGAAGCGTGTCCGCCAGGGTTATTGGGGAAACGCGTGTGAAAGTCAACCACTTGCGGGAGAGATTCAGTGACAGAGGCAGCTGTCTCCCGGGTTTTCAAGAATTCTGATGACCGTTCATATACATCGCAAATTTCGCCCCATCAGCCTTTCTTAGTCCCATTAGCAAATGCTTTCAGTCGATTACCAAGGAGTTAGTCCATCACCACGACAGAAACAAACCCCTGTACGGCAAATTGTTTTCGCTAAACAGTACGGAAGCTATGTCGTCTCTGGAATAGTTAAATGCGTCATTGTTCTGTTCATTTAGAAAAAAAAATAATTTACAAATCCATGTTCTTTAGCCAAGCACAAAAAATTTAGTCTAGTAGGAAAACCAAGACATGAAAGGCATAAAATTTTAAATCAAGACAACCACTATAAAATTTAAAAATGAAAAACGCATTTAATTACAGTTTATGCAATTACGAAAAAAGGTACAAGTTTGCACAAAAATTTCCTTCTGTGCACCTCAAAATCACGATAACAGATTTAAGGATTACCAACGTGATGTAATGGAATAACCTGACACCTCCAAATTCCTTCTTGGAGGAATTTGTAACGCATAGCTTATCATCTCTCAGTTGCGTCTCTGTCTTTGGTTGGGTAGTGTGCGCCCAGGGGCTTCTCTGTCAGAGGACTGAGGGGCAACTGAGAAAATAATACTGAGAGGTGCCCAGCCCTGGGGAAGAACTGCCCGAGGCCGCGCCCTCACATTACACAAGAAGAAGGGATCGGCGCTCGCAGCTAGGCCAGTGCAACTGACGGTTGCGGGGTCTGTGGGTAATTTTTGTCTCTTGCATGGGTGTACGCGGTCGGGTCCCCTCTTTAAAAAGTCCTTGTGTCACATCTCGTCCTCGTGGACACGAGTAAACACCGTAGTAACTGCCTATAAGTAGCTGTAACTCAACGGACTACGAGATGAGATGGGATCTGTTGAGTACGACTCAGACTTACGCGAGAACTACCAACCTTCCTATAGTAGCACTCACTACTGGATTGACTTGCGACGACCTTGCGCATAACTGTTACCTTTATTCTTATTGTACTGGGTTTTTTTTACAATAAACCATTACTTATTTTATCCACCTTGTTTGTCAAGTATATATTCCTATTAGCACGGAATATAACACAACGAAAAGCAAGGAAAAACAAGGATTTTGTCATTGAGAAACATAAAAAAAAGGCTGTAAAATAAAAGGAAGATTCAAATACCTTTGAGAAAAAAAAAAGAAAAGAAAAAAGACAGCAGTTATTCCGAAAACGGATTTCTTTTAATTTTATACAGTTCGTGCTTGAAAATGTCTTCAAAAACCTTTCGTTTTAGGCTGTCCAACAACAGAAGAAGTTTCACTTGAATTCTTGGTCTTTCTGCAGCTGGCTGGTAAATGGTACCTTTGATGTTAATGACATGACTTGCTCCCTTGCCAATGCCTCATTCTTTTATTCTTTTCTCTTTTTCTACACGCTGCTAGCAGACCTTTTTATTGAAAAAGCCGGATCATTCCTGCTCCGGACAGAATTTCCCAAAGTGTTTTCTTTGGCCCATATATATAAAACCCTTTTCCAAGTATTAATAAGAAAAAATGAATCCGCAACAGATCAGACAGTTTTGGCAGTATCAACCGCTTGAGCCTAAAAAGCCATAAAAACTGCAAGAATTTTCAACACAAACCAAGCCTACAGAAGAAAACACTTTTCTCAAAAACGTGTATAAACAAAAACAGACTAGAAGATTAAACATAGTATTTTAAGATTTTTTAAAATGCTAAAAATAAAATGTTTATACATCACGTTGTCAATAACTTGTCTTCTGAAGCCCGTGTAATCAAAGAAGACGTCCCACAAGACCAGTGATGGACTGGTAAGAGTGTCAGCTTGCCGATGGTAAGTGGGTCCATGATGAAGTGAACCCCGCTATCTTACTTATTATAAAACACAGATTGTGTGTGTGCGTGTGTGTGTGTCTGTAACGTTTATATATTGGATCGGATTTCCTACATTTTTCAACCGATTTCAACAAAACTTCACAGGACTACATAAAGTTACCTTGTGGTGGTTCTAACTTAAAAAAAAATGGGAAAAATATAATTGTTTTTGCACAAAATCAATTTGAAAACACGATTAAGAGACATCGTGAAAATGGAAGGGACAACTCACATCGGGTTGTTTGTGTGTGTGGGTTCCTTTAAATATGGGAACGGATTTCCTATATTTTTCAGCCGATAAAACCAAACTTCACTTTTTTTTTTTTGGCAGGTAGTGTTTCTTATTCTCTTGCACACTTTTTTCTTTATTTTTAACATTCAGAATGCTTTAAAAATTCCATTTACAAGACAATTGTTTATAATAAAATTCTATTCAATCGGTAGAGACTCATAACGATTGAAAACAATGTTTTTGTTTGAGTTTGGATTTGACCAATTCGTAAAAAAAAAAAAAACTAATTAAGACATGCGTGTCCGTCAACCTTAAACAATAATCTTTGTCAATTTTATTTTTCAGTCTTTATGATGGTGGATATTTGATCTATCTCTTACTGTTACATCCCCGGGTAACGCCGGGCTCTACTGCTAGTATCAAATAAAAATGAAATTAAACAGACAACTGTAATAAAATGGAATAATTGTTTTAATAGAAAAACGAATTTAAAAAGTCATCTGCACATTATCAGTTACTCAAGTCCAATGTGGAAGGAGATTCTCAAAGGTAAAAATCATAAAGACAAGGTGAAGAAATTCGCTGAGTTGGATTTGGAATCATACATATTGTAATCCATTGAAAAGGAATTATTAGATGAACTGGATGCAGATTCCTACATTCATTTCGTAAATATAAACGATTGCACTTAATATAACGGACTGCAGGCAATTCTTTATTCTGCTTTTTCAAATATCTATTAATTGTAAGATCGGAAAACGATCTAAAAATATCAAATTACATAAAATTAAACAAATAAATGAAAAATTCAATTATTATCGAATTTTGTATTTATTTTCGGTATCTACGACTTTCTTTTCTGTTCGCATTGTCCCTTCTTTCTTTCTTTCTTTTTTCCTTTCTTTCTTTCTTTTTTTCTTCCTTTCTTTCTTTCCATCTTCCTTTCTTTCTTTCTTTCTTTCTTATCGGTTCGCATTATGTCCCTTCTTTCTTTCTTTCTTTCTTTCTTTCTTATCTGTTCGTATTATGTCCCTTCTTTCTTTCTTTCTTTCTTTCTTTCTTATCCGTTCGCATTATGTCCCTTCTTTCTTTCTTTCTTTCTTTCTTTCTTTCTTTCTTTCTTATCTGTTTGCATTATGTCCCTTCTTTCTTTCTTTTTTCTTTTTTTCTTTCTTTCTTTCTTTCTTTCTTTCTTATCCGTTCGCATTATGTCCCTTCTTTCTTTCTTTCTTTCTTTCTTCCTTTCTTTCTTTCTTTCTTTCTTTCTTTCTTATCTGTTTGCATTATGTCCCTTCTTTCTTTCTTTTTTTCTTTTTTTCTTTTTTTCTTTCTTTCTTTCTTTCTTTCTTTCTTTCTTTCTTTCCATCTTCCTTTCTTTCTTTCTTTCTTTCTTTCTTATCGGTTCGCATTATGTCCCTTCTTTCTTTCTTTCTTTCTTTCTTTCTTTCTTTGTTATCCGTTCGCATTATGTCCCTTCTTTCTTTCTTTTTTTCTTTCTTTCTTTCTTTCTTTCTTTCTTTCTTTCTTATCTGTTTGCATTATGTCCCTTCTTTCTTTCTTTTTTCTTTTTTTCTTTCTTTCTTTCTTTTTTTTTTTCTTTCTTTTCTTATCCGTTCGCATTATGTCCCTTCTTTCTTTCTTTTTTCTTTCTTTCTTTCTTTCTTTCTTTCTTTCTTATCTGTTTGCATTATGTCCCTTCTTTCTTTCTTTTTTTTTTCTTTCTTTCTTTCTTTCTTTCTTTCTTTCTTTCTTTCTTATCCGTTCGCATTATGTCCCTTTCTTTCTTTTTTTTTTCTTTCTTTCTTTCTTTCTTTCTTTCTTTCTTTCTTTCTTATCTGTTTGCATTATGTCCCTTCTTTCTTTCTTTTTTCTTTCTTTCTTTCTTTCTTTCTTTCTTTCTTTCTTTCATATCTGTTCGCATTATGTCCCTTCTTTCTTTCTTTCTTTCTTTCTTTCTTTATTTATTTTTATGCTCGCACTATGTCTCATCTTTTTTCTTTCTTTCTTTCTTTTTTTCTTTCTTTCTTTCTTTCTTTCTGTTCGCATTATGTCCCTTCTTTCTTTCTTTCTTTTTATGTTTGAACAATGTCCCATCTTTTTTTCTTTCTTTCTTTCTTTCTTTCTTTGGTTTTCTTTTTGTTAGCAAAGCTTTTCTCAAATGGAAAACAGAAAAAACTTAAGTCTTAAACAGAGGAAATTCCATGCTGAGCCACTTATTACTTACATTTGTCATCTCTCCACAGGCTGCGACGAGGAGAGAGAGAGAGAGAGAGAGGCAGAGAGATATATAAAGAGAGAGAGGGGAGGAGAGAGGGGGAGAGAGAGAGCTTAAACAGATCTATATCGTTGAGTTGCTGAAGATAAGTACTCATCTTGCCAAACATATTCACACACACACACATATATATATATATATTATTTTAGGATATTAAAACAGAAACATGTTCAAAATCGCTACACAATTACAATTATGTTTCAAGATTACAAATATGTCGCCATTTTATCACATTTTACCTGAACACACACAGACACACGCTCATATATATATATATATATATATATATATATATATATATACGCGTATCATGTGACTTTTGAAGACCTAATTTTGAATCTAATTTTACGAGGATCCAAAATTAGCCAGTGTACTGCTGACCCTGGCCACGCCGTTGACCTAATATATATATCCATTTACTGTAGTCAAAATGTACATCTGATTTTAATAAAGACTGATGTTTTACATAACTGTATCCAATAATAATGCATGTAATATTCACATATTAGTATCGTAATATAAAATCCAAACATAGCGAGTATAAATCTTTTCCATTGTTTACGTTTATAAGATGTTTAACTGCTTCTCGTTCGGTTATTTATGGCTGGACGCGTTTACGCAACGAGTATAGCGTTACTAACAATACTTTTATCATTACCTTTTACTTTTTTTAACTAGACAATTAGATAAAAGACGGAAATGTCGTTAGTCTATTGTAATTTGGTCTCTCAAAAGAGGAACTCAGAAGATACACGGGATACGATATATATATATATATATATATATATATATATATATATATATATATATATATATTGGGCAGCAATCACTCTTTTCTATAAGTTTCGTTAAAAACGATTGATAAGGTTACGTTTTTCATTGAATTTTTTTTGTGTTCTAATAATTTTCTTCTTTTCTGGACATAATTTATATAGAAATTGTCCAAATTTTTTGTATGTCCGAGCACTTTCGGCTATGTTATTAGCCATTCTCAAAGTGATTTTATTTTTACTTTTAAATGAATGATTGTATTAGCACTCTCTCTCTCTCTCTCTCTCTATATATATATATATATATATATATATATATATATATATATATATATAACAAATCATACATTGTGCAAGTAGATATTAAGGTCGACACCCAGAGGCGACTGTCTATTTCATTTACATGGCCTGACGATTGCGTTTAAGGTCTTGAATCAATCGCGTCTGGGTGTAGACCTTAATGTCTATTATATTTACAAAGGGTTTATCCCTAATATTGTGTACTTTAACACATAAATGTAGCATAGCTTAAAAATATGTCGTAACCTAAGGAAGGTTACTGATCAGAGTAATCAGAGGAAGGTTGTTTAATGAACGAAAATACTTAAGACAAAAGCAACACAGTGGAGCGTAGATGAATTAGTCAACTGCTAGAAGTGAGTAAAGTAAAATCCACAGTGAATCTCCAACTGGTTAGATATGGCACAAGGCCGAATTTAATGTGGGCCATCGGAGCCCGTAAATTCGGCAAAAAATTCCCCGTAGATCCTGTATAAAACGGGATTGCGAAGCTGTTTCCCGAGACGAGACCGTGCTCTTAAACATAGCTTCGTCTGAGAATCCTTTCTGCCCGGAGGCAAAGAGTTTGACCAGCATAGCTGGAGACGAATCTCCGGCTGCAGACCAACATACAGTATTTACTACTGTATTTATGTGAATGAGGACAAACGTATTATCACCCGTAGGTATGCTACAGCACTATACATAGCATATCATATCACTATATATATATATATATATATATATATATATATATATATTACACTATTTACATTATTACTATTGTCCTCATCTTTATCGCCATATTTATTACAACGTCGCGGCCTTTGTACGCTCCGGCCTTCTTCAGACTGTTGGAATGTCGAACTGAACCCGTTATTTCGCTCACTGGGGTAGACTGTTCTAGTTCCACGTGCCATGTCTAATGGATGTCAGTTACCAGTTATCTCCTGTTAATTCACCTCTCCAAGTTCTTCACCTTAACCAGGTATTGAACTCACACTCTTTGGGTCCTGTCATTGGATGTAACTAACGCCTTTATCCACTGTGTCATGTGTCCTTGACTTTAGTTCAAACGTTTGAAGCCACTACTAGAATTAGTATTGAATGAACTTCACAGAAGAGTGAAAAAAAAATGGAAAAGAGCTCTGGAAAAAGAATGGAATCAGCTATCAAACTTTTGCAACGAATGACAAAACATTTGCGCTGCAGTAATCAAGGCTAAAGGAGGATATTTTGAAGAGTGTAAAATTTAATCATAATTTTTTTTTCTTTTTGTCGCCCTACTTTTTAACCATGTATAATAATTTTCACTTATTACAAGACAACTAATTTCTGGGACAATTTAAAAACTTAACAGGGGTCACCTTAAACATTTGAATTGTAGCGCATATATATATATATATATATATATATATATATATATAATGGACTCTCCCATCTCTCCCTCTTATTTAGATTTTATGTCTTTTGTCGAATATGCTTGAGAATTTACTTTAACATGTTTCAGTAATCATCTTTGCGTTAGTAAAAAATAAATTTTATTTTACAAGAAAATCTACATTAGCAGAAGACGTAATTCGCGTTCGTCTTGTACACCAAATAAAAATGCCGGCGTTATTCGATTGCTTCTTTCAATTCATCCCACCCACCGGCACGATGTTCATTAGTTTTCACCGCGGCACTATTATTTCGTTCAATGTTTACTACCAACAACTTATGGGGTCATTTAATATTCTTAGGAGCTTAATATTCTTAGGAGCTTAATAGCAATAAAAAGATGTTATTCTGCTTTCACAATTGAATACATGGTAGATAATACTCAGCTTTTGTGCATATACATGTTTGTATGGACGTGATTACTAGAACCGGTGATGTATGTTTTATGCTATAGTTTTGATGACGTTATATTTTTTGGAATAGAGTGTGATTTATTTAAGAAATTGTAGGATATTATATGGATTAATATCATTAATGAATTCTTTTATGTTGTTTTTTTGGTAGTATTTTAAACGCATTTGGGTGAAGTCACTATAATTTGTTAGTACATGTGTACTCGTAATGTTTATATAAAATGTATTGCTGGTATTTTTAATATAAATATATATTTTTATACTTTTATAAAGTTTTGTATTTCTTTTCGGCGTGTTCGCTATTTTTCAATAGCTTGCATCCTAACAGGTGCTGTGATCCCGAGTTATGGTGAAACTGGGAACAACAGCAATCAAAACGTCAAATCAGAGGCCTTGCTGCCGGATGTAGTTTATCGTCATACCCAGGACCTTGTTGAAAGTGCCTCAGCCATTTTCCCAACAGAAGAACATACGCGTTTGTCTTAGAAATTTGTTTTTTGTTTTTTTTAATCGGTATCACCCCAGGTAAGGCAGTAAAGCCACTACGACACAACGGGTTACAGGGTGTGGAAGAACGAAAAACAGAAACATTAATAATGAGCGGGAAAGGAAAAAGAGTAATCAGGAGGACTGTAGATAGCGATTGACATTGCATTTAAATTTTTGCAGATTACATTTGGCTGGAAAGCATAGAGAAGAAACTGTTTGTATAAATATTACGGTTATATCTAGCCAAATCAATTCTAGATTGATGAGATCTTGACGCCAGTCTAGTGATGCGCTTAAATTCATAAAATCTAGCTACCATAGCGAAGAACTTACCCGAACAATTACCATGGAAGTATTTCTAGAAAAGACAAAATGGAGACAAATTTACAGTGGTGGGTAAGTTACTGAACCCGAGCTGCCAGATCAGGACCAATAATATTGCTGATTCTTGTTTGGATCTTATCAAAGACGTCAAAGTAAATAGCAGGTCACCGGACCATATATGGCAGAAATATTCTAAACATGGACGAATGGTAACATTAATATATCAACACAGATGACAGTGGGATTAGCACAAAAACAAAACTATGAAATTCGTGTAATTAGTTTCTCATTTATTCACTTGAAAATACAAAAAAAATTAATACAATATACAGTAAAAGTCTTCATATCTGAACGACCTCATATCTGAGCATCCTCTTCCATCGTTCTCATATCAGAGCGTCTCAGTGTTGCCATTTAGATGTTGGAGGAATATGGTGCATTCTAATATTTTTCTTTTTCTTTGCAGATAATTGTAACTTGAAATTTCTCAAGCCATAATGTCCTCTAGTAAAGAGGTAACTTCAACTGGAAGAAAAAGGAAAAATAAATTCTTTCACGTTACCTCAGAAATTAAAGATTATTAAAAAACTGAAGGAAGATCCTAATTCTTTGAATTTGCAAATTAACAAACAAGGATTGAAGAATTTGAACGAAACGCTAAAACTTACGCTTGAAGAGGATCCACTGAATACTTTTCACTTCAATTGACTTAAAAGAATGGATAAATGAAGACGCTAATGGATTAGAAAAGAATTTAACGGTAGAATCTCTTCAAAATGATTTGGATTGTCAAGAAACGGTGGAGGAATCAAATTCTTCTGATGATGGCGAAAATATGAAGGATAATGAAAAAGACTGGGACTCATAAGAGAAAGCAGGAAACATAACATACACAAATAATAATAATAAAAACAAGGACAAAATCAAAATCACTGAGAGATGGTATGAGCACCAACCAGTCACCCAAAATAACGATGTAACTATCCTCTGGGACATGCCAATTAGAACTGACAGGAAAATAAAAGCCAACAGACCTGATATTATCATAAAAGACATACAATTCAGGAAGTGTTTGCTTACTGACATAGCAGTACCATCTGAGAGAAACATCTCCATGAAAATTATCGAGAGATTGTCCAAATACAAGAACCTGGAGATTGAGATTAACATGATGTGGGGAATGAAGACTGAGACTGTCGTACCAATAGTAATCGGAGCTCTGGGCATCGTAAGAAAAGGAATGGACAATTTTACTCCCAGGTAACATCAACATACAAGTTGCACAGAATGTCGCCCTACTAGGAACATCCAATATACTAAACAAAGTGACAATTCTCCTATAGGGGCTAAGGACCCTAGTTCGGAGCTGGCTCTACAGGATACAAAGCAGGTAACATAACATACACAAATAATAATGATAATAATAATATTCTTTATTGTCATGTCCGTTCGGGACTCAGAAGAGAAAGCTATTGATGAGGTCATCAAATTTACGGAGAAAAAATCTCTGTTCACTGGTACAGAACGTATAAGTGCACGTTATTTGCCGAAATGCCTCACGTTATAAAAACTAGAACCGCGAAAAATAAGCGAATGAGAAAAGAAATAAAAAAGACAATTGATAATAAAATTTATTGAGCATTAAACATTGCAAATTAATATTTACTTTTGTCAGACAATTTTTCAAACATTGCTATAAATTCTTGTATTTTATTAAGTTATATTTATATTACACATGCCACATTATATCCGAACCCGTTGTCATATCTGAGCCACTCTGGAGTTCGGATATGAGGACTTCCACTGTGTTTGTGTGTGTGTGCGCGCGCGCGCGCGCGTGTGTAATCTTATTCATAAAACGCAGATTGTGTGTGTGTGTGTGTGTGTGTGTGTGTGTGTACGTTTATATATTGGGTCGGATTTCCTACATTTTTCAACCGATTTCAACAAAACTTCACAGGACTACGTAAAATTACCTTGCGGTGGTTCTGATAGCGCCCAAAATTGGAAAAACACAATTGTTTTTGCAAGAAATTAATTTGAAAACACGATTAAGAGGCATCGCTGTCGCGAGAATGAAAGGGGGACAAGTCATATCGAGTTAGACTTATTATAAAACCCAGGTTGTTTGTGTGTGTGTGTTCGTTTATATATGGGATCGGATTTCCTACATTTGTCAACCGATTTCAACAAAACTTCACTTTTTTTTGGCAGGTAGTGTTTCTCATTGTCTTGCACACTTTTTTCTTTATTTTTACACTCAGAATGCTTTAAAAATTTCATTTACAAGACAATTATTTATAATAAAATTCTATTCAATCGGTAGACTCATAACGATTGAAAACAATGTTTTGTTGAGTTTGGGTTTGACCAATTCGTAAAAAAGAAAAAGAAAAAAAAAGTCTAATTAAGACATGCGTGTCCGTCAACCTTAAACAATAATCTTTGTCAATTTTATTTTTCAGTCTTTATGATGGTCGATACTTGATCTATTTCTTACTGTTACATCCCCGGGCAACGCCGGGCTCTACTGCTAGTATTAAATATAAATATCGAAAACGGCTGAATGACAACAATTTGTGTTCACCAGACTAAGATGCTCTGCTTGTATCTTGAGTTTTAAGTCATCGTATCTTACGCGGTAACGCCCTCTTTCCTTCCTGCAATCCTAACAGGCCTAGGACTATTATCTAGACCAGGGGGTCGGCAAACTTTTACAGAGAGCGGGCCAGACAGCTATGCAGTGTCTCGGAGGAGGGCCACTGTATAAAATGTATTATAATAAATTGTCCTGATCTCAGACCACTCCATCCAGAAAGTTGACAGAGAAGAAAAATATAAATGTTTCCTGTTTTTAAGTCAAAAGGATATTTACACGTCTGAACTTCAGGGATATCTGCTCAAATGTGAAAATCGTCAAGGATTTTATCATGACTGGTATGTACCTATTTATGTGTGTGAATAGGTGTGTGTGTATGTGTGTGTGCGCGTGTGTGCGCGTGTGTGCGCGCACGCACGTGTAAGAACAGAAGTTTGTAAAGAAGTAAGATAAAATATCTTAAGCATCCATACTGACCAGCTGAACGTAACATTTCAAGGCTTTCCTTTTTTTCCTTTTAGAAAAAAAAACATGAATGCACGATAGATGACCAACTGTTGTGGATGACGTCAACATCTACGATTTCTGTCCTTGGCTGACCGAGAAATAATGACGCCCAACAAAGATTTTAGCGCGGTTTGAAACGAGGATAGGTCAGTTGGGAAGCTGTAAGCTCCATATCTCATGACCACATCCATAACAATAAATATAAACTGTCGTACTTGATGACATGGAATGATGTCGATAACATAGTTTTAAGAAAAAGAAGAACGAAAAAAAAAAAGACGAATGAAGAGAAAAAGAAAAAAATGGAAGAGAAATTAGCATCAAACTAAAGAAGAAAAGGAGTGAAGAAAATGAAAGAGAAACAGAGAAATAAGAAAAATAGAAAGAAAAAAGAGAAGTAAGAAGAAAACGGGACGGAAAATGAAAGAGAATGAAGAAGAGGAGGAAAAAAGAAAGAAGACAAAAATGAAGGAAAAAGAACGAAGAATAAATGAGATGAAGAAAAACTAAAAGAAAATAAAAAGAAATAGAACGCAAAAGAGAAAGAAAAAGAAAAAGATGGGAAAAGAAACAAAAAAGAAAAAGAAAGAAAATAAAAAAGGTAAAGCGGGAAAAAGAAACAAAAAAGAGAAAGAAGGAAAAAGAAACAGAAAAGAAAAAGGAGGAAAATCAAAAAAGAAAAGAAGGAAAAAGAAACAAAAAGAAAAGAAAGGAATGATAAAAGAGAAAAAGACGGAAAAAGAAACAAAAAAGACGGAAAAAGAAACCTAAAAGGAAAAGAAGAAGAAAGAAAGAAAAAGAAAAAGAAAGGAATGAGAAAAAAGAAAAAGATGGAAAAAGAACCAAAAAGACGGAAAAAGAAACCTAAAAGAAAAAGAAGAAAGAAACAAAAAGAAAAAGAAAGGCACGAGAAAAAAGAAAAAGAAACAAAAAAGACGGAAAAAGAAACAAAAAAGACGGAAAAAGAAACGTAAAAGAAAAAGAAGAAGAAAGAAAGAAAAAGAAAAAGAAAGGAATGAGAAAAAAGAAAAAGATGGAAAAAGAAGCAAAAAGACGGAAAAAGAAACAAAAAAGACGGAAAAAGAAACCTAAAAGGAAAAGAAGAAGAAAGAAAGAAAAAGAAAAAGAAAGGAATGAGAAAAAAGAAAAAGATGGAAAAAGAACCAAAAAGACGGAAAAAGAAACCTAAAAGAAAAAGAAGAAAGAAACAAAAAGAAAAAGAAAGGCACGAGAAAAAAGAAAAAGAAACAAAAAAAGACGGAAAAAGAAACAAAAAAGACGGAAAAAGAAACGTAAAAGAAAAAGAAGAAGAAAGAAAAAAAAAAGAAAAAGAAAGGAATGAGAAAAAAAAGAAAAAGATGGAAAAAAAGAACCAAAAAAGACGGAAAAAGAAACCTAAAAGAAAAAGAAGAAAGAAACAAAAAGAAAAAGAAAGGCACGAGAAAAAAGAAAAAGAAACAAAAAAAGACGGAAAAAGAAACGTAAAAGAAAAAGAAAGAAAGAAAAAAAAAGAAGGAAAAAAGAAAAAGATGAAAAAGAAACCAAAACAAAAGGAGTGAAGAAGTAAGAAGAAGAAAAAGAAAGGCCAAAAAGAAGAATGAACACAGAAGAAGAAAAGAATGAACGAAAAAAAGAAAGAAAGATAATGAAAAAAGAACGGAAAACATCGAAGAACGGGTAAGAAGAAGAAAGGAGAAGAAGCAGCAGCAGCCGAAGAAGAAATGAAATAAAAACAGAAAGGAGAATGAAGAAATAAGAAAATAAACTAATAAGAGAATAAGAAAAAATAAGAAGAATAAAAAAAACAAAGATGAATGAAGAAGCATGAAACAAGAAAATACAAAGATAGCTGATGAAAAAGGCAAAGAAGGAAAGTGAAAAAAAAAGAAAAATGAAAAAGGAAGGTAAATGAAGAAGAAAAAGAAAACAATCATAAAAGGAGAATGATTAAAAAAGAACGAAAAGCAATAAAAAAAAAGAACAAAGAAAAAGGAAGATGAAAGCCTGATGAAGAAAAATGAAGAAAATATGCATAAAGACGAAAGAAAAAAAGAGAAGGGAAAAGACGGAATAGAAATAGAGAAAAAGAAAGAAGGAAAATGAAGAAGAAATAAGAAAGAGTGATATAAAATAAAAAAGGAAAAAGAAAGAAAGGAAAAGAACGAATAAGAAAACAGAAGAAAAAAAAAAGCAAAACAAAGAAAGAATTTTTCGCAAAGATAAATGAAAAAAAAACATTAAAAAATGATCCGAATTGGAATTAGAAAAGAAAGAAAAAGGCGGGAAAACAAGAATCGAAAAATGAAGAAGTCAGACGTTTTGTTTGTTTGCTTTTTACAATAAATATTCACCCTCCGCCCACTTCACGGCCCAGGCAGTGAATTCATAATTACTTTGTTAATAATTGTAATTGTTAATAATTGTTAATAATTAACAATCACCTTGTGCTGTAAAGTGTTGCTTGTGAATTTTGTGACATATTAATTGTGAGTTCAGTTCCTAGACTGAGAAGTTTGTATTTGGAAACGGGTCGAGCAATAACTATTCCGTACTAAAAATAAGTACCAGACAAGTTACCCTAAGACAAGGGCAGTGAGAAGAGTATAGTCTACCCGTTAATTAAATAAAGGGTTCAGTTCATAATCACCAGTAGTTTACCAGGCTTTACATATACCCGAAGAAAACCGGAGGACATAAAGACAGTAATATTATGAGGACAATAGTCTGTAAATAGTATAAGGGTACTAAAAATAACCGCAAATCCGTTTTAACATACCTTTACATTTGTCACATTGCCTTATACACATGTGTGCTTATAGTTGGGATTATTGTGTTCACGTGATCAAAGTTTGGGCGAGATCGCGCTAGTTTTCTTGCTGCCGTTACAGTGTAAACATGGCTAGCAGTGTGCACCAAGGAGGAAAAAGTGCAGTGATCCCAATCTACAGAGAACATGTTACGTCATCGATGATAGCTTGCCTGTTCGGCATTATCATCTCTCGAGCTTTTTGAATCTTCTCGTCAGTGGCGGAGGTTGACGGGCGTTCTACTGCTTCTTCGTACGTCACCCTTGCCCGGCCGCTTTTAAACTTCTCGATCGACTCTTACACAGTTGTACGCGATAGTGCATTGTCGCCGTATGGTGCTAAAAGCCTCAGATGAATTTCAGCCCCGAACACACCTTCCGACCAAAGAAATCTGATTAATGCTCTTTGTTCCTCCTTGGTGCACACTGCTACCGGGGCGGCCATGTTTACACTGTAACGGCAACAAGAAAACCGGAGCGAAAAGAAGCTAAGACGGTTGTTTCAATTAATTTGCCCAAGAGTGTAGTTTATCGTCATATCCAGGAAGACTGAATAATGTAAGTCAATTAACAGATAATTTAGAAAAGGAATATGTGGAGAGCCATGATCGCTTCCTCCCTGAAGAGATTTGTCATTTAACATAATAAAATACTTGACATAGTCTCAGTAATTAAAAGAGATGTCTGGAAAAATATTCGAAAGTGAACGCCACTTATTCAATTCGAAAAGTTCTGTTTAAAGCACGGAAAATCCGGGGAATATATACTTGTTTATTTTAAACAAAGAAAGATTGATAGCAATCAAGGCAACACTGGGTCACCTTGCTAGCCTGGTTGGATTTTATTGGTTTGGGAACAAATTTAAGTGGTGAATACTGGTTATCTTTCCAATGCTTTTGCTGTCTACCCTGTATCTTTGCATTCACCTAGTTTTCGACCATTCATACTTCTTCCCTTGGCATTATAGCCTTGGCCGGGCTAAGAGGCACAATTAAAAAAACGAAATTATTAAGTAGGGGAGAGCGAAAGTAGTGAGTTTGTGTGGAATGAAATAGGTTGGAAAACGTTTTCAGGCAAAAATGGTATAAAAATAAGGTCATAAAATGGTTTAGAGATACGGGTGGTATCTGTAAATATGTGATTCTATTTTTTGCTATATATATATATATATATATATATATATATATATATATATATTTCTTTGCGGGAAGGAGAGTTGATATATTTTTATCTTTTCAATTCGTTCTAGTTTGACATCTGTCCGTCATTTCTGTCTCTTTCACATTAAATTCTTGAAAGCGAGTAGCCACTGCCATTGTATTACCAACATACTTTAATTTATTTCTTAAACGTTATTTTTAACGGATACTCGTATTTCAGTAGATGCTTAGTTTATTTATTAAACCGAATATAAATTGCTCAACACCTAGTATATTCATGCGACTATATATATATATATATATATATATATATATATATATATATATATATATATATATATATATATATATATAGAGAGAGAGAGAGAGAGAGAGAGAGAGAGAGAGAGGCACGGTGGAGTTATGGATAGCGGCTTGGATTGAGGAATCGCAGAGCCGAGTTCGAATTCCAGTCGAATCCATTACATTCACTTACGTGCTAATACCCTTGGAAAAGGTATGAATCCTCTTACTCTCCCTCCAGCTATGGGTAAAATAGCAGGACAGACTGGGTTCTATAGACTTGGATGGCAACTGGTCTAGGAGAAGGACAACTCTGAATTCAAAACCTGCGGAGGGTCGTTTGGGAACCTTGTGGCATTAGGTGCACCAGGTCTCTTTATTCGTCCCTTCAAAAAGTGTGGATGGTCCTGCACGAAGCCTTCACCACTATAATCAAATCTCATGTGCCGCTGTCGGTTTCCTGGAAACTGATCTGCTTGACTCTCATACGTCGAATCTCGACGGGAGAGTCGATTAGATTATATATATACCCATCTTATAATGTGCCGTGTCCTTTTATAGGCGATCATGGCTCTCCACTCCCTCCCCGTCCTTTGTAAGTTTCAATAAGTTCCTTCACTCTGCCACCCCACCCCCCTCAGACAACGTTCTGTCATCCACTTGCTCAAGCCTGCCATGTATGTCATGCGTTGTTTTCCCTCGTCTCTCTTTCCCTCTATTGGACTTGTGAGTATCAGATTCTCCAGGCCCTCCTTCCTCATTATGTGTCCCATGAACTTCAGCTGCCTCTTTCTGATATTAAATATAAGCCTCGTCCTTGTTTGCATCCTCTCTAAGACCTCATCATTGCTCACACGCTCAGTGCACGATATCCTTAGCATCCTTCTGTAGAACCACATCTCCGTCGCCTCGAGTCTCTTTTTCATCATTGAGAAGACCGTCCATCATTTGCTGCCGTAAAGAAAGACAGATGTCGCGTAACAGCCCAGTATTCTTTTCTTTGTTACCAAAGAGATCCTCCTGTCTCGCAATACTCTGCCCAGCTTTTGGAATGTGTCCTTGGCCATCCTAGTACGTCTAGGGATATCAGTGTCGCACTTACCATCCTCTGTTAAAACACTTCTAAGGTATTTAAACTATTTTAGTGTCCTCGACCTAAAAATCGCATTTTAATGATGACCATGCAAGCCTGAATATTCCAGAAATCCTATTAGAAAAAAATAAGCGTTTTATCAGTAGGATGCGAAGTGGTGTTCTCTAGAGAAAGCCGTCATTAGATCTGATGTGCGTTTGACCTCTCATTCACGAAGAACCGACGGCCAAAGCCCAAATAGTGTTTCTGAACACTTTCCAGGTGACGCATATATTTCTAATAAAATTTTTCGAATTTTCAAGCAGGTAGATGAAAATAAATAAATGAACTGTTTAATAAATAAACAGATCGTCTTCTCAAATACGAGTCGGTATCCATTAAAAATAATTTTTAAGCAATATATTGTTGAAACTTGACTAATGCATGGAATAATAATGCAACACAAAATGTACTTAGAACAAAAAGTATTGAAACAAGAAAGTGTAAACAATATTTACATATAGTCTTTTGTATATTCCTGGAAAGACCGTTCCTGAAGAATGTCTTAGTCGCAGTCGGGCAGAGTCTCTGGATTGAATCTCTTGTTTCCTCCCTTCTCTTCCCGGTACCAACCATATTTATATGGTCAGTACTCCCACTATGCAAATTAGGTGGATCCTACCACACACACACACATATATATATATATATATATATATATATATATATATATATATATATATGTACATGTGACAAAAAAAAGATAGTATGATAAATTAGAAAGAAACAGTTTTCGTGGCGCGTTTCATCCATTAATATTTCTTCGGACTGGACTTTGTTAATCTTGCCACGCCTACACATGCACACAAAACGAGAGACGCTGGTAGTTTCAAAATTTTTGAAAGGATATTTTTTAAAGATTTTTTTTTTTTTTTGAATAAATATTTTTTTTTAATCTAGCCAAATTCATGTGTATTCTTTTCTTTTTCTTTTTCTCTCCATCATTTTTTTCCTTGTCTGTCCCACATTGTGACAACAGAAAATCTACCAAGAATAGTAATGTATTGTAAGAACCTGGACACAAATTTATCGTAGCTGAACTAGTGATCAAGGAACTTTCTAGACATTTTCGTCTCAGTGGATTATTTCCTTATCTCAAAATTATAGTCAGTTTTGTTACGATTAACAGCTAATGGGCCAATTAAACAACCAATGCACCTGTTTTGTTACGGTTAACAAGCAATTTAAAATATGCCTTTTGTATTCAGAACGTCTTTTGTTTAAAGTTCTTGATACTTCTCAAATGTATTCATTTTGGCAATTCTTGCATTTGTTAGAGTAAATTCCACTTTCAAGTCTTGGCTAGTTATTTTGTTTTTGTTGATTAAGTATTTGATTGTTTAGATGTAGTTGTGGCAAATTTTATGTTGAGTTTAAATAAATTCTTTTCGGTTATAATTAAGAGAGAGTCAGTGGCTAGAAGAATATATTTTTTTGATTTATTGGATTTATCAGGAAGGACTGCTCTTCTATCCTGGAATAATTTATGAGCTTTTTTGTTTTGTATTGAATAAGAAATAGTTAGGGTATTGAAGGGTGTTGAATGTATTTTCAATATATTTCTCCTCTTCGTGTAAATATTCCTCTTTCAATTAAAGACACATTAATAATCTTCAAGAAATCACAGTGTGTTTTTCGACTGTGAAGAATTCTTAAAAGTCTTGTTTCATTGTCCAATGCTGTCTTTTTTTGGAGATTATTAATGTATCTTTATGGTAAAAAATTGCCTGTTTCTCTGCAAGAACAACCGAGTGACCATTATGCAAATTTAGAAGTGACTGCTGCACATTGAAAGTCAAAACAACCTGTGTCTACACAGCATTGGACAATAAAACAAGACTTTTAAGAATTCTTCACAGTCGAAAGCCAAGCTGTGATTTCTTGAAGATTATATATATACACTTTTTATACACTTTTGAGGGGTAGTTTTAAGTCGATGTAAGGTGATATAGAGAGTGTAGAGAGACAGTGTGACAGACATGGTCGGAATTAGAGAGGGAGGAGAGATATAAGAATGATTTTAATTTTTTTTTATTACAAAACTTAATAGTGAGGAAGTGGGCGTAAGGACCAGGCATTGGCCTATTTAATAAGTCATCTCACCGGAAACGATATAAAGAGAGAAAAAAGAGAAGTAAAGATGTAAGGAATAAGTGGTGGAATTAGAGGTTTAAGGAAAAGAGAAATAGATATTGGGAAAGAGAAGGAAAATTAAGAGAATTAATGTATCTGGGCAGATTGCGGCTTAATTTGGGAAAACTCAGATTTATATATTTCATATATGTATATATATACACACCACATACATATCTACATAAATATCTACATAAAAAAATATATGTAAATTTAAATTCATTTTTTAACCTTTGGAAGTGTGGTCTGATGAGCCGGGGAAAAATAAATTCCCTGGAGAAATAAATTATAACCAATGGACCCTTAAAGTTGCTTGTTTTCATTCAATTAATCGCTCTGAATTAACATTGAGCACTCTGCATTTAATCCTACTTGGGATTATCCATACGCATCACCAAGATGTTCATTCTCTCTCTCTCTCTCTCTTATATATATATATATATATATATATATATATATATATATATATATACCCCTAAGTACACGCGCGCGCACACGCACACACACAAACACACACACACACACACACACACATATATATATATATATATATATATATATACTTGATCGCCTTGTGTTCAAAATAATAATTACATATTTACATTAAAAGTGAGAAAAGGAAGTGAATGGCGTCGAACAATCCAAGGAATATAGGGAAGGAGAAAGAAAAGAAAAGAAATTAATATTTTAAGAACGTTTGAAAGAATCCAGTTCATTTGGACAAGAATTCCATATTACGTTCGTATCAAATATCTTCCAATATCATCACATATTTGCTCGGCCCTTTGAACTGCGTGTGGTAAATATCAACTCCACAGGAAGATGTAAATTTTTCAAGAAAAAAAAAAGGAGGAATATATATGTCATGAAGCCATTTCTGACCTTAGGTCTCTGGTTGGGACATGGAAGAAAATGCATATGCAACAGAAAACCAAGGAAATAATAATAATAATAATAATAATAATAATAATAATAATAATAATTTCTACAGCAAAGCAAATAGAAAAGAAAACATCGGAAGAACAGCAAATACTCTGAATTGAGGCTTGAGATTGCAAGAATCTGGAAAATGATGGAAAAGTCATCCCGATAGTCATTGGTACACTTGGATCGATCCCATTGAAATTTAAAGAATAGGTAGACCAAATTGGTGTAAAATATTGAGAACAACTCTACTAAAATCTGACTAATTTGGTATAGGTAGTATAATTCGAAAAGTATAATGTGTGAGGTCCTTGTGAAATAACAAGAAGTACCTTTTCTGATACGTACGACGTTTACTCAACACCAGGGGCACCATGATAGAAGAAGAAGAAGGAGGAGGAGGAGATAAGAGAGGAGGAGAAGGGGAAAAAAGAAGAGCAGAAAGGGAAGAAGAAAGAGGAGGAGGAGGCGGAATAGAAGAAGAAGAAGAAGAAGAAGAAGAAGAATATAAGAAGAGGAGGAGGAGGAGATAGGGGAAAAAGGAAGAGGAGAAAGGAAAGAAGAAGAAAGAGGAGGGGGCGGAATAGAAGAAAAAGAAGAAGAAGAAGAAGAAGAAAGAGGAGGAGGAGAGACGTACAAGGAGGAGATAAGAAGAAAGAGAGAAGGAGGAGGAGGAGGAAAATGAAAAGGGGAAGAAGACAGAGGAGGATGAGGCGGAATAGAAAAAGAAGAAGGAGGAGGAGAAGGAAAGAAGAAAGAGGAGGGGGAGAAATGGGAAGAAGAAAAGGAAGAGGAGGAGGAGGAGAAGGAGGAGGAGGAGGAGGAGAAGAAAATAAGGAAGAGCAATAGAAAAAGGAAGAGGAGGAAGGGAAGAAGAAGAAAGAGAAGGAGGAGGGGGCGGAATAGAAGAAGAAGAAGAAGAGGAGGAGGCTCAGGAGAAGGGGAAGTAGAAAAAGGAAGAAGAGGAGGAGAAGAAAATAAAAAGTCAGAAGAAGAAGAAGAAGAAGAAATTGCGATAAATTTTCCTTGAGATACATGAAAAGCATAAAAATTACATGAAGAATAAACAGGAAATAAAAAGAAACTAAAAAAGAAAAGACAATGAAGAATGCAAAGATTAAGATAAAAAGTGGAAAAAGAATAAAAAAAAAAATAAATAAACGAATGAAGAGCGGGAACGAAACGAAATCAGTAAAAATGAGAAAAGTTTTGAAAAAAAAAAATGAAACAAGGACACAGAGAAGAGAAAAGAAACATTCAGAAGAAGAAGAAGAAAAAGAGAAAGAAACAAAATCTAAAAAAAAATGTAGAGTGAGAAGAAAAAAGGCGCAATGCTTTCATTTACATTCCTGTAAGTGAATGATGAGCGTGATGGCAAAATATGTCTCCCTAATACATCATTTCGCACGGTGCACAGCTGTTGCTTCGCCAAAAACATCTAAACTCATACACAGCAAAAAAAGGTCTTATCGCAGTTGTGACACACACACACACACACACATATATATATATATATATATATATATATATATATATATATATATATATATATATATATATATATATATCTTCTTCAACTTAAGTGGACGGGATCTCAGTTAAGTGCTGAATAGCCAAAGTCTATGCAATACAGTTTCCCAGACCTTCATTCTAGATTTACAGACCCCCACCTAGGCCTTCATCTCGGTGCCATTATTTTTTATTCGTACTAGTTTAGGGGTTCTGGGAGGTGCTTACGTCTCATCACCGTTTCCTGAACGATCACCGAAGTTAACAAACGTTAAGCTTGGTCAATACCTAGATGGGTGACCGCTTGTGAATACCAGGTGCTGTAAGCATGGATGTGCGGGTGGTGTGATGGAGAATGGTTCGAAATTGTTAATTGGGGAATCGAGTTCCATTTTCGATATATTCACTTACGCGTAAGACCCTTGGGAAACGAATAAATCCACCTCTTCTCCCCCAACTAAGTGTTAATTAATAAGACTTGTATCAATAAATAATTATTATCTCCCCACTATAAAAATTGTCAATCTAAGATATTTCCTGGCTTTAAGTAACCTGCAGTGGGTTGATAAACCATGAAAAACGAATCAATTATCTGGTAGTTATGTTGGCTTTTCAAAAATAGAGTTCCATGCTTCATGTGGGTTTTACAGTTCACAAGCAGAATAATTTATATTTAAAAGAGAAAATAATAAAAAATTCAAAATCTCCTATGGATATTCGATTAATTTGCAGTGTAACACCCGAACTCAGCTCGCATTAAAAAATTCCAGAAAATTTACATTTATGTGTAATTGTACAATGTTCATTCGAATCTGGCTTGATAAATTTGATAAAATCTACCGCTTTGGAGTTATCGACAGTGAAATTTCGGAGTCAATCGCGTCTTGGCGGCAGCCATGACTCAAGTTGTTTGCTTACATTCGCTGCCGAAAGCTAAGCGTGGAAGACTACCGAAAGCTAAGCTCGGAACTGATCTAAATATGTCTCAGTTGCTGGGAGAGAGAACTATTTACAGAGACACGCTAAGTTTGCGCAATGATACATGCACTAATAGCTATTCTGCAGCGAATGTATGCAAACAACGCCTGTAATGGCTTGTCGCGACGCAAATGAATCCGAACTTTCACTGTCGACAACTCCAAAACGGTAGATTTTATCAAATTTATAAAACCAGATTCGAATAAAGCATGTTCCATTACACATAAATGTAAGTATTCTGGTCATTTTTAATGCGAACTGAACGCGGGTGTTCAATTAACCAGATATTCTTCCTCAATCTAAAGTGTACCCTTCCGAATATTTTTAATATAATGAATTGTTGTTAATATACGGGCTATAACAAAAGTCCCAAGGAATCAGTCAGTTTAATAGCCTTTTTTGTTTGCTAACATTTTTCATTTTTTTTTCATTTTTTTTTATTTTCTTTCAGGTATTTTACAAAAGATATTTCGGAAATTAATCCTGCAAAAATACACGACTGAAACGCAAACACAAAAAGTTTGAGTCATTCTTCCAAAACCAAAGATCAATAATTCAAAATTAACGTGTATATCGTCGCCATTACTCTATGAGAACTTTCAAGTTTTGAGAGTGAAGGTTCAGTAAGTGACCTTCCACGAAGTGGCAGACCGCATTCGGTCAAGAACGAGGGAGTAAGTGAGATTATCGATGAAGGTTTGAGCGCATTATTTCGGTCACAACAGGTTTAGACCACTCGGACTTCATGCCAATGAAGTTTTATATTCGTCAATCTGTTTCTCTACAACGAGATGGGGTAACATCTCATAAAACATGGGCCACAATCCAGCTTCTCATTGAAATTTTGGGAAGAAGTATAATTTTTCACTGTTGCGGCATAAAGTGGCCACAACATTTCCTGGATCTGACATGAATGTACAAGGTGCCCAGTAAAAACAGCGGCAAATTTATTATCACTGTTTTATCTTTCAGGAATAATTGACCTTGAATAACCTTGAATAAATTTCTTAAATATTCATGACCTTGAATAATCAATCGACTCTCGCGTAATTACTCAAATCTAATTCTTTTATGATTGGTTATTTGCTGCTCGATATTGTGATTCGTCATTTAAATGTTATTTGCAGGCAACTTTCGTTTTTCGTTTTGCCATTCTGGTATGGCTAAACAACTCACTGATTTCGAGCTTCAAGTTATCATACTTTTCAAAGAACAACCGACGTGGGGATTGACAAAATGTGAAGAAATTCTTGCTGAATTCTTCAGTCGCATTAGTCGTCACCATTTTTCAACGATTGTCTCACATGTTTCTGAATATACCGCTTTTTTTTGCTGGGTACCGTGCCGTTTAAATCCATCTTGTCGAGGTACGTAAGAGGAAAGCTTACTAGAACAATTGCTATGAAGACATTTTTAGAAATGGCAATGGAATGATACGTTACGATGGTGAGACTTGGGAGCAGCAGAAATGCCAGATCAGGACCAATACCAATAGCGGTCTGTATAGTAATAGAGGATAGATTAGAAATAGTGATCCCTATAGAGGGTAAAATAGGAATAGCGATCAATTAGATGTCACACGATTTCCTACTTATGCGTTTTCTCTGGTCTACTTAATTCAATAGTGGGATCGCCTGTGTTTGCTCACTGGCGATCTAGCTTCAAACTCAAGAGTCGGCAGCGACACTTTATTCCTATATAACACTTGAATACATTTATTGACAGTTCGTAACCTTGAATAATCATTCGACTGTGGCGTAATTACTCAAATCTGATTGGTTCTTTTATGATTGATTAATTGCAGCTCGATCTTCTGATTCGTCATTTAAATGTTATTTGCAGACAACTTTCGTCTTTCAGTCTGCCCTTCTCGTATGGCTAAGGAGCTCACTGATTTTGAGCGTTAAGTTATCGAACTTTTCAAAGAACATCCTACGTGGAGATTGATGAAATGCGCAAAAATTCTTACTGAATTTTTCAGTCACATCAATCGTCACCAGTTTTCAACGGTTGTCTCACATCTTTCTGGATTTACTCATCAGAAAATTCCAATAGCAAAACTGTGAAATTTTCACTTGTACTGATCGCCAATCGTATTTACCAGAAGATATTATTAAAAGTTCAATACCTGGTTTGAGATGTCCAGCAAATGCCGAATGTGTATTCATCACTTAAGCGAAACTTATATCCAGGTCTATCAAACTTCCCGATTATTGCAAGTAGCGATATGATTTCATTTGCGTTTCAGCCTTGTCTGTTGCGTTTGCTTTCATGGAAAAGGTGTAAATCTATTTCTTTATCTTACAACTATGTGTTAAATAGTAGGGTAAACTAGGTTCCATAGCTGTGTTTTCAAACTTTTATTTATTTAAGGTCATTTGTAGAATAACTAAAACATGGGGCGCAATTTGAATTTTAATAAGGAAAAAATAATTACACAATTTGAAAATAGTCTCCTGAAATAACCATTTATTACATTTTATATTTAGTGATGCTTGAGTGAAAGTTATGTTTGAAGTGCTTTGGCAATTTTTTAAATGTAAGGCCTTATATGTGATAAATGTTGGGTCTTAATATGTGATAAATATTGGGTCTTATATGTGATAAATGTTGGGTCTTATATGTGATAAATGTTTGGTCTTAATATGTGATAAATGTTGCGTCTTAATATGTGATAAATCTTAGCTTTTAATATGTGATAAATTTTGGGGCTTAATATGTGATAAATGTTGGGTCTTATATGTGATAAATGTTGGGTCTTAATATGTGATAAACGTTGCGTCTTAATATGTGATAAATCTTAGCTTTTAATATGTGATAAATGTTGGGTCTTAATATGTGATAAATGTTGGGTCTTAATATGTGATAAATGTTGCATCTTAATCTGTGATTCTTAAAGATTAAGGAATTTAGCATCCAGTTTCAAATTTCAGGTGTCAAAGACTTGACTTGGAGAGATATAGAAGCCATGTATTTTGTGTCATTATCATTCATTATATATATATATATATATATATATATATATATATATATATATATATAGTTTATATTGCTCCTCTTTTAAATTGGGACGCACCTCGTCATATTTCAGAGTACATTATTGCGACTGGGCATGCAGTAAAGCAGGCAACAGAAAAATATTTCATTGTGTTTCACAAAATCTATGACGGTGCAATTCATAAATAATAATAAAAAAAAAAGGAGTTGAAGGTTCGCAGGAATGAAACGAATGGAAAAAGGAAGAAAATGAACCTTTATCGATATTTTCAAAGAATACAATCCTTTTGGACAACTTTGGCAATTCCATTCATAAATAATAAAGAAAAGAAATGTGAGGAAAACAATGATCGTCTACGTCATAAAGGAACGCAACATTAAAACCCACCCACCCACGCACCCCTATCTATCTATCTATCTATCTATCTATCTCTATAATATATATATATAGCGTATTTTCTTTTCTTTTTTTTTGAAGGCAAAAAGTAGTGTCGTACAATTTTTCCAAAATTTAATTCAGATGTAAATAGAATTTTCAGATGTTTTTAGAATCTTTTTTATTTCATAATCCGACATATTTTTAATTATAGGTATTTTTAATCCGACTTATTTTTTATTCGAAGTAATTATAATCCAACGTATTTTTAATCAGACACATTTTTAATTCAACATATTTTTAATCCGACGTATTTTCAATTCGAATTATTTTTAATCCGACATATTTTTATCCGACATATTTTTAATCCGATATTATTTTAATTCAACATATTTTTAATCTGACATATTTTTATCATTTTGAACGTTATTTAT